AAAATACTTTCCTGGGTACCAGGTCCTTCTGACAAGAGTAACAACAGTTTTGCCTCAGCATTCTGTATCAACTCATACAGATGATGCAGGTCAATTTGTATACATCCTAGTTCATCTGAAGATAAAGATTTTTGCAGAGTTGGTAATAGCTCAGGTAATGGACACTTGAAATTTACAGTTCCTACAACATTCACAGCTACAGTTGGGGTCATTTCAGCTGCCTCAGGTTCTTTCACGATCTTCATTTGCTTTTCAAGCAGATTCTTCTCTTCCTCAGACTCCCTGCTCAGCAGTTCGAGCTGCTTGATGGCACTGTTGGCAGATGAGAGTTGCTTCTGGACAGAGGCTGTATCATCTGCCAGTTTCTGATTCAGAGCTTCCAGCTCATGAATCCTTACCTGCAGCTTCAAAACATGCTCATCAGCAGCTGTCTTTTCATTCTGTAACTCAACCAGAGATTGTTCTTTGGCCTTTACTTCTTCAATGCGCGCTTCAAAGTTACGAGTTTGTGTCACAAGTTGTTCCTCTTGTGCTGCTATAGTTTCATCCTTCTCTGAAATTTGTTCTCTGGCATAACCATATGCTTCACTTAATTGATTGATTTTTAAACTTAGTTCCTTGTTAACTTGTGACACTTGTTCCACCCGTTGTTCCAGTGCCTCTGTTTGTGATATTCTACTTCGCAATTCTCTGAATGCCTCTTCAGTCTTCTCAAGTTCGTTTATTTTCTCTGTTTGACTCTGCTTTTCTCTGTGAAGCACATTCATGTCTGCTTTCAAATTTGTTATATGTTTCTCTTTTTCCCTCAGTTCCGCTTTCATCATCTGGTAGCTTGTATTTATATGAGCAAAATCATTCTTCAGTTTGCTAATAGCCACGTCAACTTCTGTCCTCTCCCTTACTGCCGCTGCTAGTGCTACTTCAACTGCCACCTTCCCATTCTTCAATTCCAACAACGTTTGCTCCTTTAATTTCAAACTCTCTCTTAGATGACTGTGAGACATTTCAATACTTTTATATTTGTTCTCGAGGAGTTGCACCGCTAAATCCTTTTCATTCAGTGCTTTCTGTAACACTGACACCCTCATCATCAACTGCGCATTTTCTGTTTCTGAAGCCTCCGAAGCTGTTTCTTTTGTTTTAAGTTCATTTTTCAGAGATGTGATTTCCTCCTTGAGTTCCTGAACCACTGCATCTGACAAGCTTAGCATCTTCAACTTCTCTTCTTCCAGTCCTTTTAACTTTGCTGTGACCGTGTTGATAGTATCTGTACTAGATTCATTATAAATTTGGCTAAAAATGGTAGCCTCCCGCTCCAGCATGTCAGCCTGTATAACTTCTAGTTTTCGCATCAGTGCCTCCTTCTCTCGCACGGCCCTATGTTGCGTCTTCTCAACCACCTGACGCAAGTTTGCAATTTCTCCTTTCAATTTCTCAATCTGATGGCTTCGAGACATAATACTTTCTTGGCTTGTAATAAGCTCCTGTTGCACTTTTACTTTGGCTGCTTGACATATATGTAACTGATCTCTGTACCAGCATCCAGACTTTTTTGTGGTTTCTATTTCATTCTTCAAGCTAGTCAAGTTACTTTCTGCTTTTAGTTTAGCTTGAAGTAGGGACTGAATCTCTACATGCTGGTCTGACAACTTGCTTTTAAGGCCCTGGATTGATCCATCTTTAGATTCAGCTTCTATTTTCAACTCCTGAAATTCAATTCTCAGTTTCTCATTGGCACCTTCAGCTGATTGCACTTCTGCCTTCCACTGACTGACCTCTGAATTCCTAAGTTCTAACTGCACAGTCAGATCCTGAATCCGACCATCCGCCTCTCGAACAACTTGCTGCATCCTGTGTATCTCCAGCACCAACTTCTCCATCTCCTGTAAAGCAGCCTTGCTATCCGCTGCAGCCCTCAACATCATCTCCTCTTCTAGAGTTCTTGCAAGATCAAGAACCTCATTCTGCCCTGATACCAATACCGACATTTCAGTCTGAACTGTCTCGAGGCGGCCTTCGACGTGAGCCTTCTGTCGAAGAGCCTCTTGATATTTTTCTTGCCACTCTAGAGCTATTTTTGTTTCTGCTGCCAATGCTTCAATTCTGTATTTTTCTTTTTCTTCAATGGCATTCTGAAGCTGAACAGTAAGCCTCTGGATCTGCATGTCAACATCTTCTTTAGCTGTCAATATGTCTGTCCTGGACACCATAGGAACTAAATTCTGGTCCTTATTTTTTTCACACTTTACTGAAGGTGGTGTTGGTGTCGCTGTATCAAGAAGCAGTAGCCTCTTGATTCGAAACATTTCTTCTTCATACTCGCTCACATCTGAGATAGTTGACATTGTTTCAGCTCGTTCTGAATAATTAGAGTCTAGCTCAAAACGAGATGAACATCCAGAGATATTGGATGCAGTGTCAAACCTATCTCTGGCCCTCCTTAACTCCCAGGCCAACTGATCTGCTGTCGTCATGCTGCTGTCGCGTCTAAAACCTGACTCATTAGCCATCTTACTAAGGTTATGGGTTGAAATTAAGCTGCTTTTAGAATTACGGTGCACTGAAGCTATGCTTGCTGTAGCCACAGATTCATAGCTTGATGCAGTACTCAGGTAACTGTCTTTGCACGACATGACTCTTCCTCTATAATCTGCATCTGGTGACTTTGTCGGGTATGAATATTTTTCAGTTACTACAGTAATCCTATCTTTTGGATATTTAAGTAACCTGTCATGAGGTTCGACTTTGGCAGAAGTTTTGGTATCCAGCATTATGAAAAATGAATTATCTATTTTTTTGGGAGCATTTTTCTCTTGTGTCATCAAACAATAAGCATGAACTTTTGGAACAAGTGAAGAATCCGATATGCTTCTGTTCTGGCGGTTTCTAAAACCTGCAATTCACACACATACACATATAAATGAATAAATACACAAATTATTATTGTACACACCTTTAAAAACATGGCCAATATAATAACCATATTAAAAACAAAGCTAATGCTACAATAAGAGGGTAGAGTCAGTTACGTCTCTAAGCACCAATCCAAACTGACATGCAAAGAAAGCTGCAACAAAGAACTGTTTCTCCCTCAAGCTATGTACAAGAATATTAATTTATAAACAACTTACAAGAACATAATATACTATGGAGATCCAGAAAATAAAGAAAATACTGGAATGTTTTTATGTGACCAGCAACCCTGCTCAGATGTGGTCATACTGTAGCGCAAGGTTAGCTGGTGACATGCTTCATGTATGGTTCACTTGCAGTCTGTTTTTTCCAGGTGAGCATGGTGAAAAGATCACCACTGCACTAGAGGTTTGTACCAAGGAGAAGTAACATGCAATTTGTTGTCTGAAGGCGTGAAAGGAGCAGAAATCCACCAAAGACTGGATGCCAAGTATTGACAGAATTGTATTCCATAATGAAGTTTGTATGAGTGGACTGAAGTGTTCAAAGCAGCTGGATCAGTGTCGTTGATACAGACAGGCAAAGACGCCCAACCACATACACAAACAAACAAAAAGGGAAGTGTTCTCAAGCTATGATTCTTGTGTGTTCACAAGACATCCCTTGTTATACATATAAGCAGATGCTCACATGACTGTCATGACAACCAATTCGTATATAAAATTTTCACCAGTTTGGTTTCATAAGAAAAGGTGGCAAAATCAAGGATACAACTGTATGGGTACATGTCATAAGTGGATCATAACACAATTCCTTGCAGAGTCTGAGAACTGAAGATGTCAAAATAAACAACCACTGGAGAGTTAAGCGACAAAGATATACAAAATAAAGCAGGAGAGCAGTGTTTAGCGTAAGCAAATTCCCATTTTGGTTGTAAGGCTCTGTTTACCATTTCCAGCAATGCGTTTAATACGCAGGAATCGTGTTACCTAGCAAGGGACGATGTCGTGTGCTTGCATAGGACTCTGCCCTTAGTTAGTTTTTTGGTTGGTGGTTGGTTGTTTAAGGAAGTAAAGAGAAGAATGCAGATGGATTTTAACATGATGACTCACTCTGGTGTAAATATTAATGGATGATTATGATTTTATACACACCTTCTAGAGTCTCCTCAAGTTCTCTGCTCAGACAGTCAGACTGATGTTGTTGAATAAGTACTCTTGTCAAATTATTATGCTGTAATTGTTGTTGTGGTTCTGTTACCAACTTCCTCCCGTCCAAATCTATGGATTTGATAACTAAATCATAGCTGTTTGATGGTGTAACAGAAGTTTCATTTTGCACTGTAGTCTAAGGACAAAGAAGAAAACTAAGCAATAAATTACAACAAACAAATGGAAAAGTAGAGCACAAAGTACAACTTCAGAAAGTGAATAACTTCTGGAACACCAGAAATGATTGTAGTGCTTTATTTATATGTCCAGTAACATTGAGTATATTATTCCCAAATTAAGCTCTGCATGCTTTGCCATGTGAACAGTCGTACCACCCATGACAATAGATACTTTAAAGCTAGTTTACTTTGCTTACTTTCACTCTGTAGTGTCTTATGGATTAATCTTTTGGGGAAATTCAACAGACAGTAATAAAGTTTTTTACATGCAAAAGAAAATAATTAGAATAATGGCAGGTGTCAAAAGCAGGGTATCTTGTAGAAAATTATTTCGTAAATTTAATATACTTCCACTTGCAAGTAAATTTATACTCTGCTTGCTATCATTTGTGGCGGAAAACATGGATAAATTTAAAAGAAATACAGATGTACATAATTTAAATACAAGACGTAAACATGATCTATATGTGCCAAATGCTAACTTTACTAAATATCAGAAAGGAGTGTACTATACAGGTATCAAGTTGTTTAATAATCTTCCACCAACAATTAAAATTTTTTTTCCTTCTATTCTGTAGATGATTTCATCTCTGCTGAAAATGTTTAAGCTTTATATCCATAATCTATGTATATGTTAAAGCAAGTTTTGTATTTATATTTAAAATTCTGAGGTTTATGTATATTAATTTGTAAAATTATTTTTCATACTTGTATTGCAGAATCTGAAATTTATGTACATTGATATGTGAAATACGTTCTTGTACTTGTGTTGAAAGTTCTGAAGTGTATGTATATTGTATGAAATGACATGTTCTACATCCTTTGGTTGAGTCCTAAGAAGGATCTATGGAATGTAAATAAACTCTTCTCTACTCTACTCTAACAAATTCGAAAGGATTATGAAAATAAGTGGCACAGCCAAATTCAAGATACCATCAGTTACCACCAGTGGCTGAGGAAAACCATGCTCAGTCAGAATAGCTGGTATCCAGACTGAGATTCAAACTGCAGACCTCTGAAAATAAAGCAGCAGTGCTTATCACTCGGCTGCTGTGTTCAGTCAACGCATTTTAAAAAAATGTGCTTTGAAGTGGGCCCAATGTTGGCAGAAAACATAAACATGTTACTCATGACAATCCATTCTATTATTTAATTATGTAAAACTTCACTAGTAAATAAAAGACTACTTTTTGTTTGTAACACAGACTAATATTATTACATATTTCTTAATTAGCCTAATAAAGGATGGTGAAATATAATACTGAAAGAATATTACCTTGAATTCTGTGTTTGGGTCTATAACATTATTCAGAGCCAGTTCTTCATTTTCTTCCCACTTGTCAACAGTGGTGCTGTCAGTTTCATGATTTACTTGCTCCACATATACACTGAGGTTAAATTTGTCCATAATTTGTAGCCTGGATACTCTGTCATGCTTTCCACTGTGGTGAAAAATATTTACACTCAACTAAAATAAAACATACATAAAAGTTCATGTCACTTTAAACTGTAGAAATCTGAACAGGTCGAATTTTTGTTTCATTCCTTATTTTTTCTCTAACAAATTTCAAAGGTACATACATCTAATAAATGCTAGCACTGTCACGTAAATTAAAATATTAATTTAGGATGTAACTGGCTAAAACTGATAACTGACGAAACCAACATGTCAATAAATGCACGTCACCTTGGGATAATTAGTAGTAGTATTAGAATACAGCTTTAAAGATATGATCGTACGTAGCTGTATCGTAGTACATGATATAAAAATCTTTATACAAAGTGTAACTGCACATCTGTCTCAATGTAAATTCTTATACTTACGTTTCACGAAACTTTCACACCCGTTTTCAAACCAGCCCTACTCCTACGTGGCTGCCCCCACCCACCCAATACGCAATACGTAACCATCCGTCAGAAACACTAGAGCAAGGATACAGCTTTGCCCAATATAAACTACAAGAGTGCAGTTTCTCTCGATATAACATGAATAGATGATATGATATTAGGTAAAGGACAAGGCAGATAAAATGGCTTGTAGGCAGAAGTGTAGTGTACGTAAGAAAGTAATATAGGCGTAACTGCTTTGGCGAAATGGATATAGGTAAACTGTCCTATCGTGAACACATGCTAAAGTTTACAGTCGAACCTCGGTAGTGCCACACTTTGATTACAACCAATATTGGCATTAGAGCGGAGTTGTTGGATTTTTTTCATTTTGGGTTTGTTTTTATTTGCAAATCTATTGAAGTACAACCACATATTTTGGCGGCTAGTGGCGATAGCACTTTACCGTGGGTTCCCTTCAAAGTTACATAGGGATTTTCTGTTTCGAAACAGTCATGGTTACAACACAAGGGTGGCAATACGAGCATTGTATTAGGGGTTGGCTAAACCTCATGAAGGCTGAGCTGATTATATAATCTGGGACCAGGACATCGTCATGCACAGACGCGTCTTTCGTTCAAAGGGAAAAATGTGTATTAAAAGCCATTCTCATATTAATTTCCTTCTGAGAATCCACAGAAGCTCTTTCTTCGTTCATCTACAGTAAAATTAAATGCCCAGTACTACAAATTTAAGTAGGAGATACCGAGAAGTTGTTCAGAAAAATACTCTTCATACCAGTTGTCATCCACTTTCTTGTTAGTATCAGGATTTTGCCTTTTGCACTGGAACCCAAGTTTCCCCATTCAGCACAGATTCCCTTTCGTTTCTGGCATGTATGAATGCTAAATGTAACCGGTGTTTTGAAGCTGAATTCAAACCAGTAAAGTGTCCTGCCAGAAAAGCTTGTGATGGTTTTCACTTTTTCTGTTCATCAGTTACTTTTTTATGGTGTGTTCTTTATCGACACACATTTTTTATGAATAAACTTATACAAAAATAAAAATATATAAGGTGAACACAAGCCATGCAAGTTTCCAACAACCCAAAAAAGTGAAGATAAATTTAAACAGACAACATACTAATTCATGAATCATATCCAAACAATAATTATTAAATTTGAATGTAAAACCTTTATTTTTTGAGAATTTGGTGCTTAAAAGACCATACTATGGGGCTTGCAGCCAGGGATTTAACTTATAATAATATTAATACTGATGAAATGTCTGTATCTGTGAAATTTTAGTGCCAGAGAATATTGTATTAATAAAGTCTTTAAAGATAAGGTGTTGCTTCATTCAGTAACACCACATTTTGATTGTACATTTTAACAGTACATGGGGAAAATGAGAAATTTATATAAAATTTTAGTTGAATACCTGATGGGAAGAGGCTGCTTTGGAGGAAAAAGCTATAGATAGGGGATTTATATTAAAATGGATTTTACAGTAAAAGGACAGAAGGTTGTGGACTGGATTGAGTTGAGTCAAAATAGGGCCAGTGACAGTTTCTGTAAATAAAATAATAAACCTTTGGTTTCCATAAAAGATGGAGAGGATTCCTGACCAGAAGAGTGATTATTAACTTCTGAACAAGAACTGTTTCATGAAGTTAGTCTGTGAGAATGATTTTGAAGACAAGATGGTATTACTTTAACAATTCTGTGGTCTATATCTGGTATTTATTTCCATACATCAACGAGAATGATTAATAACACCATTACCTGGAAAGAGAGATAGACCAATATGGTGCCATGTGACAGACAAACTCTCAGTGAGCAAATACAATACCAGTATTTAGAAATATTTTTATTTTGTTCCATATGTTTTGAGAGCTAATTTCTCAGTGATAAATCCCATCTACAGCACAAGTCTTTTGGGACTGGGACTAGATGGATGTATCTTGTTACAGCCCTGTTTTCTTCTCTTCACGATGCGCTGGTGTACCCTCTTCATCTCTAGAATCTCCTTCATTTCTTCCTTATCTTCCTCCTACAAAGAACCGCAGTAGTGTTCAATCTCCAGCACAGGGGTGCAGAACCTCAAGAACTGAGGAGAACGGTGAAGCTTTAACCTTATATTCATGAGGCATCAATTTTAATTTAGACTTTATACAGGTTATACCTGCTTACTAAGCTACCCACAAATCATACATGCATCCATAACAATAACCCCATCCTCTGAAATCATATTTGAAACTGATTAATTATGGACTAAGCACATCTTATCATTTCTGTTTTTGTCTTTTCTTGTGTTCGACTGTCCAGTTGTTATCCTCTAGCCTTAATGATCAGTTCAAACGGATAAAATTTTGAGAAAATTAAGGTGAAAGATATATTTCTGAATAAATACATGAAACTTGAAACTTGCAATCACTCTAATTGAATGGCCACAAACATTTTTGTAAGTGCAAACCCAATTATTCACCTTAAATAACCTTAAATGACCTTGGATAATGTCATAACATGTTCTTTGTATTTTTGACAAACTTTACTTTTTTCACATTTTACCTGAATTTCTAATCACTTTTAATAACTCAGATTATTCTTCTCTTGGCCTCATAATTACCTCTGCTACTGTTTCATAAACTTGATTACACTGTTATGTTTTGATGATGAATCTGTATTTACTTTTGTAATTTGTAACTGTGAACAAAAATGTCTGGACTCACTGATTGGTTGAGTCTTAGCACAAGGGCTCGGCGTCCATCAGACATAGGCTGTGAATAGTCCATGAGCTTTTTCAGCCTCTCCAATGGACTGACACCTCGCTCCACCACCAGCACAATTCGAGCCCACTGTAAACAAACAACATCACATTTAATTGCATAGGAACAAGTTCACACTCTCTTGACTTTGGCAAAAGATGGAGCTGAGTAACTGGCATCACCTTCTGTCATCCTCTATTCCAGAGACGGGATCTCCTGTACACTCGTTTGACTGCATTTAGCCGCGTGGACTACAGTCACATTCATGAATATAACTCCGATCTTCCAGTACATATTATTATTATTTAGTGTTCTGTCTGACGACAGGTCCATATGAACAGGATCCTTCCATCCTTTTCTCGGACTGGGACCTGTTCATATACATTCTTGGCAGATGATCCAGAAGTGGTTTGCCATTGCCTTCTTCTGTGTGTGAATGGGATGCCACGGAGAAACCGGTGAAGCCCCCGGAGGAAAACTCCGTGTTGCCTAGACCACGGCCTTGCCCAACACAAGTTATAAATTTGGGCACCGCCGGGAATCGAACCCGAGACCCCAGGATTACAAGGCCAGCGTTCTAACCGCTAGACCACCGTGGGATTCCCAGTACATATACATGAACTTAAATGACTGGTCTGTAATGACCACAGTATTTATTTGCACACTCACGTACAGTACTGATGAAGATAATCGTGGGTGCTTATACTACAGTTGGTTGCATGGACTTGGCCCCAAATTTAAACAATAAGAATAGGAATACAGAATGGAAACTACAGATCTTAATGATATTTTTATACAGTAGGATTTGAATAGTTACATTATCATCTTGAACTATGCAGGATTAGGATTAATTGCCTTTTCCTAAACACTCCAGGTGTAGTTGGTCTCACCATCCCTTCTTTCAGCATTCAGATCTTTTTGCCTCACTGGCTTGTGTTCCAGTCAATTCTGTTATTTGAACTTGAAAAACAAGCTACATCATCTTATTAAGCAAATCTTGCATGTCCGTATTTCAACATGGAAACAAACATCAGAGTTGGTAGAATTATGTGCATTAGAACAGACAGCTACATTTGTAGAACCCATTCTAGTGCCGTGTGATTTGTCATCCATGAACCTAATACCTGTCTCTGCCACTCATTCCGAGTCTCTGCAATTTTCTGGTATGTGTTGCCCATCATGGCAATCAGCATGTTCACCAGCAAGATGGCCACAATCCCCATGTAGATGACAAAAAGCAGCTGAAACATGGAGCACAATTGAGTGATAAGATAATTATAATTTCAGTTTTTAGTGAAGTACGGTTTTGTTGAAGATATGACATTTTGTTCTCAGAAATCACCACACTTCACCTTAATTTTGATTATTTTCAGTGCATACATCTACACTAAATTCACAAAAACATCCTGAATGATAGCTATGTAGAACATTTAGTTGTTGAACAGTTGAACGTAAATGTCATTTAATGTAGGTACCAGGAGATTTTGGGGGTTTGATAGCCCACTCCTAGAGCATAAAGTTCGTCCAAGTGGATGAGAAACTTCCCCATACAGACTGCGTGTGCCACTGCGAAAGGAATAAGAGGTACTAACTGTTATTTCCTTCACTGCACTTAAATGCATGTAACGTTAAAGGAAATTAATAAATGTTACAGTCCGACTTCATATTTTGGAGGTCCTGGTTTCAAATCTCGGTCTGGAAACAGACTATCCTGACAAGGTTTCATGGTAATTTTCCAGTTTTTCAACACAAATATTGCAGTAGAACTTTTAACTATGTCATGACAATGTTCTTCCATATGATTTCTAATTCACATCCCATCATTTGACAGTATACAGTCTAAGCTACTGGCAGTGTCATTAAATAAACCATAAATAAATACATATTGAAAGAAATTGAACTATATGGAAGACCCACTGTTAAGTGAGTAAAAAACTGTGGCTAATTCTAGTGAAAAAAGTTGTAACTAACCTTAGCTTCATACTCGTGTCCTGTCCGCTCAAATGCGCCATAATAGTCACCAAAGTTTGTCATGGACATTAGAAACATAGCCAGCACTGATTCAGTTGGACTGGGCATTGGGTTGGACACTGAATCGTCGACACCTTCCGGCGTGTTTGGGTTGTCAAACGACAGAAAGATGATGTAGTAAGCTATGACAATCAGAATGGGTTTAAAAATAAATGAACGTATCAATACAAACACATGTTTTATTTCTATGAGGTTGTGATATATGAACAACAGGAATAAATTATTTCCTATGTGCTCACTATGATCTGCTGTTTACACGTAGCTCAAATTCAAATGGGCTGTATCAAATTTCCAGAAAATGCTAATCATATAAAATGCAGGTACATAACACAAATTACAGTTAATTCAAAAAGACATGTAACTCAGTGATGAAATGTTTGCTTCTCTTTAATTTCACTATGTATGATGAGATGGGTGTACAGTCTTCTAAGAAGAACTTGGACATACGAAGACACAGGAAAAGAAGTAAAATGTCAGGTTTTTTATTGGTTGCATTTTATTTTGAACACACTACGTATACCTCTTAAGGCAAACAATTTTTATGTGAAACGTTTTGGTATGTTATATATTGAACAAAATACAGCTAAAAATATGTACTCCATAACACCAGACATGTCCTCCTACATTAGACATTTTGTGCCCGTATGTTTCACAGGATTTCAGCAGAATTTGGATGAGATGAAAGAGAAACTGATTTTTATTTCAATCGAATGAACACGAAGACCACAAAACAAGCAACATATTACTCGCTCTATTTTGTCAAAATATTTTAGTTACTGCTTTATTATGTCTGGATATATATTTAATTATAGCACACAGTTACGAATTTAACAAAATTATTGACAGTAATTTTACTATTTAGAGCTCAGACAAACCTGTTTATGAGGATATTTGTATATATTACAACACTTGTATTTGAAATTTTTAAATATAGGCCTGTTTATTTTCTCTGATGCACTTACACTGTGAAAAACCCATGACGAAAACAAGATAGATTGAAACAAATCGCAGGAGGTCACCCATAATCATGCGGTAGATCATCACCACGAATGGTCCGACTGTTTTGAAGCCCCTGCGGAAACATCGCTTTTATTAAAAAACAAATATTTGCACTGCCATTTCTTATCTCAGCACATATGTCTGAGCAGAATAGAGCAATGTTTACTGTATGTGCTAACAATGTTACCAATACAGAACACGTTGGTTGTAAAGTAGTGGCAGTCCCACATATTTAACTGTGCACAAATAAAAAACTACGACTATTATAAGCATAAACATTATCATACCTATATCGTTGGAAGCATACATATTACATTAATATTTATAATTTTGAAAAGAAAACCAGTTGGAATTCATTTCTAAAATGAATAATGACAAGAATTTCCAGAATTTATTCTCCCAATGTGTTAACATGTTTTAAAAATTTATTTTGTTCCCAGATATTTAAATATAAAATAAATTTTAAAATAATACATTACATGCTCTTAAATATATATTTGCATTTCTAAATTATTAAGGCATTAGGAAGATAAGATTACAGAAATAACTGATTGGATTAGTCTAAAGATTGTGAGCATGCTCAGTCAGCAGTGGAATTCTAGCTTGGACCAACTGTAAAAGCTACAGACAATTCATAAAGATTATTTGGTGGTCCTTCGAGATACAGTACGAAAAATGTCACACCTGCAGAAGAAAAGGAAATATGGTGCTGTGGTGAGCATGATGAAGACAGCAACAACATCCTCAATCTCGGTGAGGCAGGACAGTCTGAGCAGTGGCATCAACAGCATCAGCACACAGGAACACAGGAACATGACGCGCGATGGAGCTGTCATCTGCACATGATGATAGTAGTACCAAAAGAAAAAAACTGAGGCCACAGAGAACGTTGGTCTTTCACTTTGAAGGAAGATCATATAGTAAATGTGAGATCTGAAGTTTAACGCCATATGTGCTATTGGAAGTTATCATCATATTGGAGGAATGTATCTCCTCCATTTTTAAGGTTCAATGTCATATCATCTGATACCAGGGAATGAAAAGTACAAGGTCTAGCATCTTATAGTCTGATTCTGTGGCATGAGATCAGTTGGATGATGGGCAAGATGTTTTTACAACAGCTACAAACCTAAGAAATAATATTATCTTAGTGACAAAATGAAGGAGGATGAGATGGACAGGTTGTGAAATATATGATGCCATGGCCACCATTTACAATATTGTAGGAACACGTTCTCTTACAGAGAAGCTGCAAGTGAAGATTATGACTGAGTCAGCAGATACTTTATCTCTGTATTTGCCCTTTGTTACGGCCCTGGAGTTACAATGCTTCGTTTTTAACACGTGAGATGCATGATTTTGACTTCTAACTTGGCATGACTTCTCTGCACTCAGTTGCTACCTATCGGTACATGTCTGAATGCTACGATTTTTATCTTCTCCTTATAGAAATGATTTCTCAATTGAAATGGTAGATTTATCTCTGAATATCACAAACTACAAAAGAAATGGTGACCATTAACAAACACATACAGAAACCATGAAGACCTTTGGTAAAACTGAAGAAAATGAACAGGCCTGTGAAATGTACAAAAGGTGCTGATACATCTGACACATCTGTTCAAGGCTGATCTCGCACCAGGTTCTCAATGAACATGTTCAGTCCCAGGAAGCGTGCCTCCCGCAGAGCAGCCACGATGTACAGCATGGAGCCTGTCTCCATGCACAGCTCGCATGCCACACGTATCTTTGCCTTCGTAGACCCAAACT